TATATATATATATATATATATATATATATATATATATATATATATATATATATATATATATATACATATATATATATACATATATATATATATATATATGGGGGAAAACTAGATTGTCTACAGTGTAGTGATGAACATTTCAGTGTCTTGACATACAAATCTGTATGATTATATTTAGAACTGTAGTTCCCTTTGTAAAGTGTTTCATTAATATGTAATTAGATTGTTTAATGTTTTAGCAGTCTCTTACCAACAGTGTATAACCTTATCTTTCCAGTTCTTGAATGCCTGTCTTTGTTGATTTTAACCAAGGTTGAATCACAGGAGAATACTGTGCTTAGGTGATAACCCAAAACGCCACCCAGAGACAAGGCAGTCTGTTCATAGCACACATACTCTACCGGTGTTGTTTGTACTTCCTACATAAAACACCTTTATGCAACATTTCTGGAAAAGTTGGTTTAGGACTGAGTTCCCATCTTGCTGTCCTTTGAGATAAGCACAAACAAGTGTGACTTAACTCTTAATTTACAGTTGCAATTAAACATTTGCTCCTTATTCCTGCTGTGTGGCAGGTATTTGTTTTTTTCCTCTTCATTCACAGTATAGTTTTACGGTTCCTTATTAATTACATATTTATTTTACAGTTACTTTATGCCTTATCACTTCCCAATAATTCTTGCTTTGGCCGCCCACCTTGCATTCCACTGCAGGTTATAGTTGGACTGTATACCTTGCTTGTGACAAATAAAAACTTGAATCCCTGGTGAAGTGTGGGGTCTGCCTTTTATCTGGAGGGAGGTTAGGGGTCAGGGCCTAACTGAGATGTAACTCTTTTGCTCAAGGTGGGATTCAAACCCGAGACCCGATCACTGGCACTGGCCCAGCCTACACACCCCACAAGGGGCTTCTCATATAGCTTAATCTTTTCCACCCGTTTAATGAAATGAATGGATATTGCCACTAATAAATGTATACAGTAGAATAACCAATCACAGCACATTGCATCTGATGTAATCTGAAAGTGAAAGAATGGCTCTTGTGTATTTAGAAGCTGGAAACTGAATATGCAAATTTCCCCTGCTTTTGAAAAGATTCCGCAAAAGTCAGGCATAGGAATTAGATTCAATTTTACTTTTATATCATTGCTTAGATCAGGCCTTTAAAGTTTGATAATGCTTTTTGTTTAGCTTGTTGTTTACTGTATTTCCTTTCACTTTCTCTGAACGAGCCTTTTCCCCATTGTCCGTTGTAGCTGTTCCTGTTGTCAGACAGAAATTTATAGCATCTGTTGCTTAGCTCTGGGGTGGTTGGGGCAGAAATGAGGAGGGTCATGGACAGTTGAGCACATGTCCCAACGTGGTGTCACACACCCGTGACAGCGGTCATTGCTTAGTGTACAACACATGCAGTACTTATGATGTTCTGAAAGTATGCATTTATTATAAAGCAGTTATACTGTATGCCACGTAGCTCTGTAACTAATGTACAGTTATACCTCTAGACAGCAGACAACAGTATTCAGAGATATATCGTTCACTTACTTAACTGACAACATTTGTTATATTTATGTGATAGCTCAAGTTATATAAACATGTTTGTTTTCAAATGTACCAATCAGATTTCTTTGCCATGATGGTCTCTGTAGATGAGCGATTTCCTCTGCCGAGGGCTAAGTAAGATGAATGGTGTTATAGTGGGATGCTGATGTTCTGCTAATTCCCTTCTGGTTGTTAAACTGGAGTCGTTGGAATGAGCCTAAAGGAAATGCATGGTTGATGGCTGTAAGCTGCAGGTCTGCATGATGTTGGGACACTAGTTAGCAGTCGTGGTGTCCCATCACGGCCGAGCTCACCACAAGATCTTGATAAGCTCTTTAACGTTGCAGCGTGTTGGCTTGTGAGGCCTCTGGAAACCTTCCAGTTGTAACCTGGCTTTCCCAACTCCATCCACTGGGTTAATCATTATTGTTTTCTGTGTCTTCAGGCAGGTGGAAAATTTCTGAGTTGCTTTATGTGCAGGGTCACATGTTGAAATGTGAGGTGTTTTTTAATTAGCTTACAGAACCTCTGGGTTCAATATAATGCTTTGAAAGGCCCGTCTATAAAAACACCCTGAGTAGTGGAAAGTCAGCAGTTGTATTCCTACACTGTAAATACTGGAGCAGTTGGCCGGGTGATGTGATTTTCCATTATTAAGCTCTCTTACTCATGTTGTACAGTATATGTTGACGTTGGTAACCGAAGTCTACTGTGGATGTATATGCTGACTCATATTTTTCTTTCAGTATTGTGCTGTGTGCTTTTTTCCCCTCAGAAAATATGGAAGATTTTCTATACACGATGATGATCCGTAACATTCATTTCAGATTTGTATTTGAAGTCACTGAAGTTTTTTTTTTTTTTAATAAAAAGCGAAATAAACCAACGTGCAATATAAATTTAAAATAGGTTCTTCCAAAATTTATTTTTTGATGTGTGCACTAAAGTAGATTTTGAAGTTGAAACAGATTAACAGTCTTTCGTTGGTTTTCTAGTTACTTAACAAGAAATTAGAAAATTACAGTGAGCTGTGTCAGATGTCCTGATATTGATGTTAAACTGCTCTCAGGTCATTTGAGAAGTCGGGGTTGAAATCCTCTTGAATTTACATCAGAACACCTGCACAAATCTCAAGTGAATGAATTCCAGGCGCAAGAACTGATGTGACCTGTAACTTGGCCTGTAAATGGAGTTATCTGGAGGATTTGCGAGTGGTCTGTGTGTGTCATTCGCCATTCACATCTCATTAAGTGTCTGACAGTGGCACATGTGATGGACTCTGTTGCTTCTTAGTTCTTGTGCTGTACGGCAGTCTCGCCTAAGAGTTATAAGAAAGGATAGGAGGTAGTGCAGTGGGAACACGCCAGGGCAGTTGATGGTTTCAGTCACTGCAAGGCTAACACTAATGTTTGTTGTGAGAAAAAAAGTAATGAGGTGTCAGTCTTTTCCGATTCCCTGCCCTTATAGAATAATCTCTGATTGTACGGATCTGCACAACTCAAGTCTTCTGCGTTTTAGAGCACACAGAGTGAAAGTAGACCAATTCCCTCGTGTGCTGTCAGTTTCCTAATACTGTCATGTTGCATTTTACTCTAGGATTATCACCTTATCCATGTCAGGGAGGACACTTTGACCTAGGACAGGATTTGTAAACTACCATTTCTATCAAAAGGACCTGGATTTTGTTCTTGCTGTGTGCTGATTGGTCAGTCTCCTATAATCATGCATGTGTCAGTAATGTTAATGTGAAACAGCTGTATGAGTCTTTCAGTCAAGGAAACAAACCAGTCAAAGCACAAGAAGAACTGAACTATTTAGCCAAGCACAGGAACCTTTCAGTTTTAAAGTAGATTGTAAAACCTGAAGTAGCTCAAAGTGTCCTTCTTGACATGGATTTAGCTGGTAACTCTTCTGGTGTGAAAATGCCCCCTGTATTGGATTCTCACTGAATACACAACCGCCATATGAGGTCCACTCTGCATCACACCTTTTACAGGGCCATGGATCAGGAGATGCGCTAGTGTTTTGCTAATGTATGTGTGACTATTTTCTTCCCCCAGATGTCTTTCAGTCCTGTTCCTGTTACTGTTTCTACCAGGTTCCAGAGGTCATCAGCAGTATCAGGCAGGTATCCAAGGCTGTGCTTAAGGAGGACGCCAAGGCCAAGTGGAATGGCGAGGAAGCCTTCTACAACTCTCAGAAGTTCGAAGTGCTGTATCGTGGCAAGGTGACCGTGCCCCACAAGAAGGTGCCCTCCACCCTAATCGACGACTGCATCCATAAGTTCCAGCACAAGGTGGAGCAAAAGGATGTCGGCCTAACGAAGAGCCAGTGCGACTCTGTGGATTCCAGCGTCCAGTTCGTTGTGGGAGATGACGGGGTTGGTAGTGGGGAGGAGGACACAAAGGAGGACAGGCCGACTGAGGAGGGCATGACGCGCGAGCAGGACCTTCTTGGAAGCCCTAACCTGGGCGGTCTTCAAGAAGCCTTCCCGGAGTGCGTTCTGGAAGACCGGGGGCCAGGTGCACAGAGAGAGTTCCGTGTTAGATGTAACAGTCTGAAGCCCAAGATGGGGGGGTCAGAGTCTCCTATCCGCAGGAGGCACGGTAGCGCGCCTAGTCGGGTGCAGCCTTCTGATGCACAGAAGAACTGCACCATGCTCTTCCAGGTACTGCTGCATTCATCAGCCATCATCTACCGCTGTGTACAGTCAAAGTATACAGATCTCTGTTGCTAAAGGCCGCTCCCTTATCTAAAAGTCATTTATAGGTAACCGTCCTGGAAACAATTTCCTTAAGGTAGACGTGCAAACGTGTTAAGCTGCCCAATCGATGTTCTATCTGTATCCGACCCAGGAATCCAATTTTGTTCTGTTACACAAGCCAGGCATTGTTATGCCAGCAGCATGTTTGTCACCGACACACACTTTTGAAGCAGCGTTCGCGTAAATTTGTCCTGTAGCTCGACGGGCATTTCATCAGCATGAAAGGACTGTTATCTGTGCAAGCAAATGTGGAGTTGGTAGCTGGAGAGCTTTGGCCAAATGTTTTCCTTATTGGTAAACGACATTTTTTTAAAGGCAGTTGCTACGGCTGATGTGCTTTGGAGCTCAGTGCGGTGTGAGCGTTGCTCAGTAAGGAAATGTTTGGATTGGCAGCATTTCCTGTCTTTTATTTACTTTAAGTCAGGTTCCATTTTTCTTTTCCCTACTCATCAGTCTTGACCTTGATTATGTGTACATTCGGGCTGAATGAGGCTCTGACTCACGCGATTATTATGGGATGTCTTGTTCTCTGTTCTACCTGATCACTGTCTTTCTCAACCACCTTCCCCTCATAGGTTGGACGCTTTGAAGTGAATCTCATTAGCCCAGACAGCAAGACTGTAGTGCTTGAAAGGAATTTCAAAGAAATTTCTTGCTGCTCACAGGTTTGTGTAAAATGTTGTTTTTTTTTAAATTTTATTTTATTTATTTTTTTTAAAGACTTCTCTCCAATGGCGTCTGACGTGACCTTGGTTTTTCCGCTGACATGTGTGACTGTTCTCGGAAACCCTCTTGGAAAATTGACGTGTTATTTTAAGGAGCTACAGAAAACATGGTTCGCAGTTCTGGATTATCTTCTCAAAAAAACCCTTAACGTGCAAATATCTTGAATTTAAACTAATAATGATGGTGTGATTTTACATCTGCCTTTTTTGTCCTGATTTGTTTTTAATTTTAATTATTTTTTTTTTTGGATGGATGGATAGGGAATTAAACAAACGGATCACTTTGGGTTTGTCTGCCGTGACCTTGGGGAGCGGGAGCCTGGTCCCAGTCAGTACATATGCTATGTGTTCCAATGTGCCAGTGAATCTCTGGTGAGTGGCTCCTTCACTATGCTCTGCTGCAGTGTTTCCCAGTCCGGTCCTCGGTGACCCACAGCCAGTCCGCATTTCCGCTCCCTCTGACTTCCCTGCCAGACAGTCCACATTTTTGCTCCCTCTCAGCTCCTAATAAGCAAAGACATGGACTGTCTGTGTGTCCCCAAGGACCGGATTAGAAAACGGTGCTCTATTGTAACAAGAACCTCCTTCTAATGCTCGGACTTTTGTTACCATAGATGACTCAAAATATCATCGTAAATACAAAGGAATTATGAAACTATGATAACCTCCCGCAGCTTTCAGTTTTGACATGAATATGTACTTGTTGAATTTTATCAACCAGGAGGAACGTCACATGTAGCCCTGGCTGTGGGACATGTAGCCCTGGCTGTGGGTTACCTGAATGTTTGTCCACAGGTGAGTGAAGTGATGCTGACTCTGAAGCAGGCCTTTTGCACAGCCGCTGCCCTACGGAGCACCAAGACACCGGTGAAGCTGTGTGAAACCTGCCCTATGCACAGTCTGCACAAGCTCTGCGAGAGAATCGAAGGTGCAGAGCACCCCTTGGTACCGCTCACTAGCTGGTGATCTGGTGATGCGTCACAGGGAGGCAGCCTCCTCACTGGCCCTTCTGTGTCTGCTCAGGTCTTTACCCCCCCAGGGCCAAACTGGCCATTCAGAGACACCTCTCCCAGCTGACTGAAAAGGAACAAGCTGATACCTTCGAAAGTGTTCAGGTCAGGTGATCTCCGTTCATGCTGACTTGGTGTCTGTTGTAGTGGTTCACTAAAACGGAGGAACTGGACCTGGGGTACAGGGACTGGGGGAATGGGGAAGTCGTGTTCCCCCCAATATTTTATTAGTATTCATCCATTCTTCCAATAAACAGAGTTTGTGGGGGTTTTGCTTATACAAAAATGTTCTGAGGGCGAAACAAAAAAAATGAATGGTATGGAGAGATAACCAATCAGATTGTAGAGGAGGTGGGACCAATCAGATGTCTTGGTCCCGCCTCCTCTGGTTGCTTAGACCCACCCCCTCCACAATCCGATTGGTTCTGAAAGATAACCAATCATTTTTTATTCTGCCCTCAGAACATTTTTGTGTAGGTGAAACTCCCATAAGCATAAACAGATCTTTGTATATCCTCCCGAGACCCAAGGGAAAAAGTCTCCTTCAATTGTAGGTTATTTGTCTTTGGAGGAAATAAGACATCTTACAATTTAGATTTTTTCTAATTTATTCTTATTTTAATTTCACAGCATGTCCTCTTTAGTGCACAACAAGAATAAATATGTTTCCCAACATCAGTGAAAAAATAAATGCAAAAATACAATGTCCACTACAATGGACATAAATGAATAGGTCGGGTCTCAGGAGGATATAAATTATTAAGTTGTGTCGCCTCCCCCAATATCAATCTCTCTCCTATGCCGTTAGACAAGGCATTACTAGGATGTAACTTTTTAACAGCTGTTTTAAGAGCCGTTGGTATTAAATAACATTGCTGCATGTTTTCTTCCATATTTGTCCATGCAGAAGATGAAGCCTGCCACTGATCAAGAAGAGAATGAGCTGTTGATTATCCATCTGAGGCAGCTGTATGAAACTAAACAGAAGGTTCACTTGCATATTGGAGAGGCTCCCCAGGTAATAATCACATGTGGCCTGACTGATGTGCGATGTCTCAGGGTGATATCAGAGCATTCAAAACAAGGCTGTGCTCAATGACCTAATCGCACGTTTACCTCCAGCATGAGGACGTCATGGGTGGTTTGCTTACAAATCCAAAAAGCTGCTAAAGTCGAAACAAGCGACTGACAGCTGACGGGCTAAAGTGTTCCTCAAAACATGCCACTCTATTAACGCTTCTATCTATGTTGTTCAGTATACATGTAAACGTTTTGTTTAAAGCAGTGTATCCCAATGCGGTCCTTCAGTGCATGTTTTTGCTTCCGGGAGATGGGAGGAAGTAAAAATGTGGACTGTCTGATTGGGAGAAACATGGACTGTTGGACTGTTGGTCCCCAAGGACCTGATTGGGAACCACTGGTCTAAAGCAATAGATCTGGCTTGTTGTGTTGCCCTGTGACAGGATGACCGAAACAGCCGTGTGTCAGACAACGCCGTGCCTGGTGCTCGCTTCACACTGGACGTGCTGAAGACCAAGGCCCGCAGCTCCCTGACCAGCTCCCTGGAGAATATCCTCTCAAGGGTATGTCACTTGTGCCATTTTGGCAGATAAATATTACTTTCTGGTATTCTCCAGTGTTCGGAAAACGCCACGGTTTCTGTGCCCTGCTGGATGTCATTTGACTGGTCTTTCTTCTTAGTGTTCCCATGGCTGACAGTGATAGTGTCTAAATATTGCCTTATAATAATGAAATATTTATTTAATCTACATCCTTAAGCCAATATGTTTCTTGTACTTTTGTACTATTGCCCCATTGATGTTATACGTTTGAGTAAATTGAAATCTCAGTGTAGAACCATACTTGAATGTGTTTTAGTGATGTTTTTTTGATTGTACATCTAAGGTCATCTGGCATTGATTTAATGCGCAGACACTTATTTGGTAACATGTTGAGTGGTGATGTGTCTCCTCAGGGAGCGAGTCGAGTGCGAGGACGCTTAGGAAGCATCGGCAGCTTCGAGCATGTGAGCGTCCCTCCGATTGTGTGCCTTGCTCCTCCATTTGACACCAAACATACACCTGTACCTTTTCCGGTGCCACTGTACAATAAGGCTACCCATATAAAGAGTTCATGAATGGTTTATAATCTGGTTATTAATTAGGTTGTAACACTTTGTAAATTATTAATAGACAATTTTAAACAAGTTATAACAGTCTTAACATTAATGAGTTACTACCTAGTAGCAAAAGGGAGCCTTATTGCAAAGTGGTTCCTCTTTTCCACCTATGGGTGAGCTGATCCTGGTCTTCCCCTGGTTGCTGAGAGGTATCTGGTATACAGTGTTTTCCTTTTACTGTGGCTTGAAGGCTGTGGAGACTGTTCCCACCAAGCCTGTCAGTTCGGTATGAATACAGCTCTGGCATCTGCAGACACTGCAGTGCTGGTTGCAGTGCTGGTTGCAGTGCTGGTCACCTTTATCAGTGTACGGAATGCGAGGTGGGAGAACAGGCAGTCTCTGATGTTCATTCACGCATTCCACAGCAAACAATGCACAGTAACTACGTTTACAATTGACATAAATACAGGAATACACATATTATTTACACCGTTTAAAGATTAATGTGGCGTGGTACAGAGCACGGCAGCTCCTAACCAACCGCATGGCGTGACATTGTCAGCCAGCCGTCGACAATGAGTGAGATCATCACTCATACAACATCGATAACGTTTGAAGTATGCGGCTACCTTTACACGCAACCCCGTTTCCAAAAAAGTTGGGATGCTGTGTAAAATGTAAATAAAACAGAATGCAATGATTTACAAATCATATAAACCCATATTTAATTGAAAATTGAACAATGACGACATATCAAATGAGAATGGGACAACCTTTCACTTTCAGGCAGATGGGACAACCTTCCACTTTCGTTTCTTGTTAAAAGAAGCTGTTACAATGTGTCCCTGTCCCAAATTTTTTTTTATCATTTGCAGACATCAAATTCAAATTGAGCATATATTTGTCATAAAACAATAAAATTGATATGTTGTCTTTGTTCTAATTTGAACTAAATGTGGCTTTATATGATTAGGAAATCATTGAATTCTTTTTTTTTTTACATTTTACACAGCATCCTAGTTTTTTTTTTTTTTTAATTGGGTTGTATTAAGGGTGTAATTATATACACACACACACACACACACACACACACACACACACAGTATATGCAGTCTATAAAAATGCATGTTTTTTGTCTCCTCCATTTTGTAACTAGTAAACATGCTGTTCTGGCTACAGCAGGAAGCAGCCTGTTTAGGCAGACAGGAAGCTCAGCTCTTGGCTCTCTGAAAGCAGACCTTTCCTCTCCACAATTCAGTAAACAGGCTTGGGTCCCACTGGACATGAGTTGTACGGCACGTACCTGCCACCTGCGTGTAGCACGCAACGCTCAGTCTTTAGTATTTGGATGCACAGAAGTTTAGCAGCATGTACGTCTAGGAAAAGGCGGCTTCATATTTAGAGTCCGAGTTGTTTCTGTGCTACACCCAACGTTTGTTTTGCACTGAGCCATAATAGGATCTGTTTAAACGCTGAGTCCAGGGAGAATACTATCATTGTTAAATTATTTTGGCTTATACTGATTTTTTTTTTCTTTTCCCCGAAACCCAAGTGAAGTTTCAGGAAAACCTTGAATTGACAATGTGCGCTGCAGAAGCAGGAAAAAACAGCAGGCCACCCACTTCCAGTACTGGACACAAAGATTCTGATTGATCAGTTTCAGAAAATACTTCAAGGCTCATTGTACTGAGAAAATAAAGCCAAGCTCTTAATTCCTAAAATATATCTAACGCCCATGTAAAATCAAGTCAAAGAATCTTAACTGTCATCACACCTGTGATGGGTCAACAGTGAGGAGAAATTAGCTTCTCTTAGTCGTAGTGCAAATAATAAATATGTATGTAAGACATTCAACATGACATTAAGATGGAAGATACAAAATAGGATGAATGTGTATGAACAGAACATTGGAAGTTTTAGTGGAGATTGCGTGACTGGGTGTACCCATATTGATACTGATATAGTCAGTACAGTAAGTGTACCTTGTGGTATATTACTTTGTTTGTGGGGTTACTTATGTATTGTGTGCCTTGTTTCTGCGCACCATTCTGTAGCGGATTTGAGATGTCAGTAGTCTGCATATCGATAGTGTATTTGCTTCCTCTCAGGATGATTTCTCCGGCAGTTCCCCTCCTGGAACGCCCTGCCTGACCTCTCCATCTAATTTTGAGGAAGACCCAGATGACCCACAGTTCCGACAGCGGTCCCAGACCTTCGGGCACCTGCCCGGCAAAAAAAGGATTTCCTTCAGCGAGGGCCACCCTCATGTCAAGGCGCCGTTCCGCCGGCAGCAGTCTCTGGCCCCTGAGCTTCTCCGGAGCAGGTCAGTAGCAGAACCTGCTAACACAGACGATCCTGCCGGCCCTGACTTGCCCCTCCTGTTATCTCCTGTGTACCTCCTGCCGTTGATGTCCTGGTAATTTCCCATGTGACCTGACTGTTCAGAGACAGTCTGCCTTGGTAAACTTCTGCAGCGAGGAGGCCCATATTGGCTTTGGCCAAATTATATACTCTGTTTCGATCCAAACGTTCTAAGCGGGTTAGGGAAGAATCTCTACTGCCTGCTGCAAACCAAAATTTACCACATTTCGTAAAATTCTAATAAAGAACACGAAGATCACGAACATTTTGTACCTGCATTCCAACAAGTACAAGGTGTTGGTCACCTGAATGCAAGAAAATAGAATGATTATGATTGATTGATGCATGCAAAGCATTGTATATCTGAGTGTTTTAAAATTATGGTTCAGTCATTTTGTAATGGTATTACATTCTGAATATTGCTATTAGATTAGATTATTAGATGATTTTATGAAATATACTATTTCTAAATATCCAAGTGATTCAATTGTATGAAAACCAACCACACTACACACTTTTTAAAACAAAATGATTGTGAAATCTGTATGAACGTGATAGTTAATACTGTAGTTAATATAGGTCTTTATTTATTTTTTATAGGTCTTCTAAATCGTCCTGTCTATGGTCAGACTGTGTGCTGTCTCTCTGTCTCTCCCATTCGTGGTCAGCACCTAATTTCCTGAACAGCTTATCAGAGTTGGGTAATTCAGGTCCAGAGAGTAAGAGTCCGGACCAACATTTTGTTTCATCCAGTTGAGTATAAAGAATTACAGTCGTGGACTACTCAGCTGGTTGGTTGAAACAAAATATTGGTCTGGATTTATGCTCTCTGGACCTGAACTACCTACCTCTGTATCTTATACCAGAATCCTTTTACTGGACGCTGTGGTTCCCCTGGTTATCATCAGGATGTATGGGACGTGATATGGGGCCAACAGCCAGTCAGAAAAACACTCAACAGGCGTGATGAGAGTAACAGAGAGTAACAGCGTGTGTTATTCTCTTTGATGTTACTGCGTCTGTAGACCGTTTTCCTGTTCTCTCTCTCTTCCTCTTGAACGTACCTTTTTCCACACTAGAACCACACCAATCAGCAGCTTCCTCCGGCTGTTGCATTTTGTTACTTGGTGCTATTTGATGAACAAGAAACACTGACAGTTTACTTTCAGCCCCAGATTATTGCTTGGTTTCACTAGGAAACTTGATTCGTACATGTAAAATATATTCTGGATATGAAACATTTTGTTTTTAATATTTTCCATTACTGCTAACTCATAGTTTATCTAACTGGTGCCATGACTGGTCTGTACTCACGATGCAAGGACCTTCTTTTCGTTGCTCAGACGTGCTGCTTATTCATACAAATACAAATTATTCTGTTAAATGGGGAATAACACTGATATCTGATCTGAAGGTGAGTTATAGCCCTGTCTTTAATCAGCAGGTGTATTTTTTTCAGTTTCAGTCATACAGTATAAGTCTGCAGACTGCTTTCTTTACTGTAGGGATCTGTTCTTTATGGACTGGTGTGTAAATCACATCACCCAGTCATAGTCCAGCTTTTTATACTTAAGTGACATGCTTCTGCAAGGCCTGTCTGTGTCACTAAAATGAGGTTGTATAGGGTAAGTGATTGATCCTGGATAATGTATGTAATTGCAATTTAACTGTAATTGCAACCTGGGTCCAGCAGGGGGCGTCTGTCTATGCCAATGCTTAAGCAACATTAATTTACATTATTTTTTTCTTCCCCTTTGGGCAATCAAACGCCAGTCTCACGAATGACAGGTAGGGATACTAACCACTACACTAACGAGTAGTTATTTGAGACCGTAACGTGAACCTGCAGGACACAACACTGGGAGAATATCCTCGCATACAAAACCATGGAAGTAACTCGAACCTTGGTGTTGTGAGGAGGTGTGAGACAACAGTGCTAACCACTGTGCCACCGTGTCATCCCCGTATGTGTATCAGTAATATACGTTTATATTACATTTATTTAACAGATGCTTTTATTCCAAATTGATGTAGATGTTTTGAGGAAGCACGGTCAGGTAGTTCCTGGAGGAGTTTGGGGTTGCAGGCTTTGCTGACTGCTTGGCCGCCTCTCTCTCTCGATGCTGTGTGGTGCAGTAACACGGAGGGACAGAGGAAGACCTCTGTGGGCTGCAGCAGTGACTCCTTCACTGCTGATGTTACCCCGGTAACCCTGCGGAACGTCTCCTGGCGCCAGAAGATCTTCCTCCAGGTCGCCTCACCAATGAACAAGCCTTCAATAGGTTTGCATCTCCCATTGCACGATTGATGAACCCAACGGTACATGTAGAACCTTCTCCAGCACCCCGGACTGATTTAATCTCTCTCCCGGGGGGGGTAAGGTGCAGACGGCCTGGCTGACAGGGAGCTTCTGCCTCTGTCTCCACATGCCATACCTCAGGACCACGACTCCTATGGCCGCCAGCTGCCCTTTGACCTTAGGCCCTCTGTGGGAGGAGTGCAGCACTCCGCATCCAAGTACCGGCTCCTGTGGAGGTGGGCCATCCATCAACAGGTCCTCCTGCTCCACATGGAGAAGGAGGACGAGCATCTGGAAGGTCGGCTCACCCCTCCTGTGATATTCTTCCTAACAATGACTTCAGACATCAGACATGTTTGTTTCCTTCTAACGATCTGTAAAGACGAAAGCGTCTCGGTCAGATTTTGATGTTAAACATGTTAGAGTTTCAATTCGTCACTGGATGAAATGCTTTTTATACTGGGTATCGTATCTGTTTAAATGGGAAATCTAGATATTGTATTTCACCAATTATTTTAATTCAGGTAAAGTAAATTTTGTCCAGTGACCAAGTTTTGACTTTCTTGGTTTGTTGTCTCTCTTTTGTCTTTCCACTGTGGTGTATATTTAAATTAAAAGTAATAATTAGGATAAGTCCGACATTTGAATAAATGGATGGATGAGTTTAGTATAACTGGTTGTACTGCATTGTTGCATCTAGTCATGCCATACAATGTCTCTGTGTTTGGTAGCCAGCAGAGATGAGCTGCCAGTTCAGAATATGAAGCTCAGCTACGAGGAAGTTGGCCAGTGTCCCGAGGACTTACTGACCCTGTGGGAAACGAAACTGGCTGCTCCCTGTTTAGGCAAAGTCCGGTGGAGCAGGGAGGAAATCCGAAGTACAGTCAGTCATGGTGAGTGGTCCCTGACGTCTCTGTCGGTCATGGTGGGTGGTCCCTGACGTCTCTGTCGGTCATGGTGAGTGGTCCCTGACGTCTCTGTCGGTCATGGTGGGTGGTCCCTGACATCTCTGTCGGTCATGGTGAGTGGTCCCTGACATCTCTGTCGGTCATG